GCGACGCGAATGAGTATATGAAATCTCATCAACGCACACATATACCTATACACCCATAGATAACATTGGCACGATAGTCTGCACGCGCACACGTAATACAGGTTCATTGACATTGGCCAGCCAACATAAGCAATAATAATAAGCAAGAATAAGGGTACAAACATAGTGTGCGCTGAGACGAAGCCGAAGATGATGCCGAATTGCTTGCGTTGCGAGCAAGCTGACAGGTGTTCTTAGTGAAAGACGAATTCAATGCTTACTTATTTTCGTTAGCCGAATTTTTTTTAAACATCGATGTTTTATTCCCGATATTCGATATTTTTTACTCTGGTGAATTAAAATTTCCGGAAGACAGCGTTTTCCCCAGTACCACAATATCGATGCCATATGTATTGGTGGCTAATGAAGCTTATCCTCTATTAGATTGGGTTCCTCGACCATATGCCAGAAGAAATTTGACTTTTGAAAGTGAATTGGCGTTTATCAAGAGCACAAAGGTGTGTAGAATGTGCATTCGGCATTATTAATTACAAATGGAGGATATTGTGGACACCAATTGAAACAGCACCAGATACAGAAGAACTTATTGTTAAAGCTATTTGTATACTGCACAACACAATGTTAGATTTAGAGGATCTTAACAATCATATCGTAGAAGGAGAAAAATGTCCCGACTTTGAAATACTCTGTACACATGTTTACAATAATTATAGAATATAAAAAAAAATTAAGAAAATAAAAAAAAAATTTGATCGATTTTACCTCTCTCGGTATTCGAACTCACGTAAAGGGTTTATAATTGCACATTTACATAGCAATTGCGTCTGTGTGAGTGTATGTATGCCTATGCGCATCTATTCGTGTCTGTGTAAGCATTTTCGCAGTCAACCAAACAGCAACATCAACAACAGCCGCGGGCAGCGCTTGAGCAGCGCTGCAGCAGCAAATACATTTATGGCTATAACTTCTCGTTAAATCGGTCTATCATAGTGAAACTTTGTATACGGACATATAATAACCAACTGGGGGTATTTGCAGTATTTGAGTTCGAAATCCAAAGAATTACGGAAGTTAGAAAAAATCGCAATTTGCATGGTAGAGGGGGGAGGGAGGGAAATTCCAAAAATTTGGTGTCTCTATCTCTTATAGTCTCTGAGATCCAGGTGTTCATACGGACGGACAGACTGACAGACGGACAGGGCTAGATCGACTCGTCTCGTCATGCTGATCAAGAATATATATACTTTGTGGGGTCTGCCACGCCTCCTTCTGCCTGTTACATTTTTCAGCTCCCGCAAACCTAATATACTTCTGTACATTTCATGTACAGAGTATAAAAACTGCAATGGAATGCTCAAAGAAAGCCGGTCGAATAATCCGAGACACTTTTTGTAGCTATGCCTGCAGCCATAGAAATGGCAACAGCATTTAAGGTTAGGGCACATATATTAATAAAGTACTTAACATCATGATTTAAATCCTGAGCAATTTCATTCCAATTTTGATCCACAATATATTTGTTATGGTAATGTTTATTGACCCCACAGGCAGCGTTTTGCAAAACCGGCTCGAATTATTTGCTCATTAATTGACATTTTTAATTTTTCTTACAACAAATGCAAGAGCAATGACGAAAATCACATGCAAAGAATTTTTCTAATAGTACTGGACATCGATGTAACATCGATACACGTCGACCACCATTTTTATTTTTGTATGTTATACTTTTTTTGTTTTTGTCTTTGAATTTGTGAAAATATCTTTTGTTTTGAAACCTTTTGTATTTAATAAAAACAATTGGCTTTATAAATAAGATAACAAATCAAAATGAAGTCCCCTTTGTAATTAAATCGTATTGAAAATCGTTAGTAGAAGTTCGATGCATCCAAAAAACGACATTCTTCGCCCGGCAACATCGATATTTTTCAGCTCTATTAAAAAAATGACAAAACAACAACAACAAGCATAAACAGCAAGCGATTTAGCTTCAAAATCAGTTCCGGACGATTTGAAGCTGACAGCGTCAGTTTCGTCTTCGCAAGCACTATGAACACTTTCGAGCGAATTCATATGTTTGCTTGTGCACAGTTTTTCGGTTTCAGCTTCGACTCAGCGCATACTATGTTTGTACCCCAAGACACCTAATCAGATATAGGTTATTGTTCCGCACTGCACATATAAGGCTATCGGCCAAACTGAGCTGACATCCGCATACTCAAGCTCACGATATATGCTTGCACATGATTATTGCGAAAACGCCAATACATAGAAATGGTAAATGTAAATAGTCATAAGCTAGTTTTAGGCATGGCTATATAAGCCATTAATTGTAAGAATAAAATCAAGAATGCAAGTTATCAACGAACGACCTGTTACTTTGGGTAAATACCGGAACCGGTAATTGCTTTACCACGTCACCCCGAACTTCATGCTCCCAAGGATCTCCAGCCGGCATCCTTGGTCAAGTGTAGGACCACAAGCGTCCTTTAACTTAAACTCGTCAGGACCACGATCGCCCTGCCGATTCGCACGGCCGCACGTGTGCGAATAAACATTGGTGACCCCGACGTGATCCTTGATACAGTATCACAATCAATGAGTACGCAACCCGCATATGAATTGACAATAAACAAGCTGTACAATCACAGCAAAAAGAAACTACAAATCCTACCTCACCCGAGGCAAACTTATTCAACTATGAGTTCAGCGCGTTTGAGCTCCTGGTGCAGGAATGGTTGGTAAGACCGACACGGATAAAGGGGCAGGAGATAGTAATGATAGCATGCAACCAAATCTAGAAGAAGAGCCACAAGAACAAACGCAGTCTGGACAATCTGCGCAGAATCCGTGTGGCTACCACAAATTACGATTCCACCGTTCGACGGACGCTATGGAACTGATCCATAGGACCGGTCTTCCGGACATACAGAAGATGTGCTATTTAAAGCCCTGCGTAACGGGAGAGGCAGCGGAGCTCATCGACCATTTGAGCGGAACCGCTTCCAACTACTCAGCTGCCTGGGAGACACTGGTACAAAGATACCAAAACCCTAGGGCGATCACCACTGCCGAATTGGAAAGATTAATGGAACAGCCCTCAGCAACAAACGATAGCAAGGCGATCCGGCTGCTTCACGACACCAGCGTTAAAAAGCTTAGCGCTTTGAAGCAGGTGGGCCGGGATCCAGTCGAACTCAAATGGGACATCATTCTAAGAAAAAAATGGGATAGATTAAATTTAGCCCTACTGGAGCAAGAAACCAAGGACTCAAATGAATTGCAATATACACGGTATACAAATGCGTAACATTAAAGGCAACGCACGAGAGAAACTAACCGATGCCAAAAATGCATCATCGCCAAGCACAGCTCTCGGGAATGCTCAAGCAGACAGTGCTACCGATGCCAACCGCCGCATCATACACATTGCTACGCAAGGACAGCGGAATAACGGCGGCAGCAGCCTTCAGCCAACCATCGATTTCCAGAACTAAACGGCAATACGTTTTATTGACTACGGTTCAGGTGAAAGTAGTAGCCCACAATGGGCAGCACAGAATCGTGCGAGCACTACCCAAGCCAACTTTGTATCCAGTCGCTTATTGACAGACTTGAAAATCAGGCCGCAACGAATAGCTACTACTTTACAAGGCATTGAATACAGCAATCTACCAGGTTCAAAACAAGAAAGGAATGCTGAAGTCGAGCGAGCTCAACTCTTAAATGCTCTGCGCCCACAAAAAAAAAAAAAAAAAATAATGATTTTAAAAAATGTTTAATTAATTTTAAAAAATGATATTAATTAAATTATTTAATTCAACTAAATACAAATTATTTAATACATATATATAAAAGTGGAGACATGTTTATGTACAGACATGGCTATATAGAACGGAGTCTATACCCTGTCACCCTGATCAAAAATATATATTTTTTGTATGGTCTGCCACGCCTCCTTCTATCTGTTACATACATTCGCACAAAACTAGTATAGCCTTTCACCCTTTGGGTACAGGCTATAAAAATATGTAATGAATGAAATCTATGGCATACAAGGTGTGTTCCAAAGTAAACAGGACTTTATAAAAAATACAGAACAAATGGTTTTTTCGGCAAAATCAATCTATTTTATTCAAAATAGTCTCCTTCTGCTTCAATTCAGCTTTTTGCACGATCCAAAAGCATGTCGAACGAGTGTTTTAGCTCGTTGGCCGGTATGGCCGCCAGTATACCGGTGCAAGCCTTTTGAATGGCCTCTACGTCTGCAAACCGCTTTCCTTTCATTGGCAAATGCATTTTTCCGAAAAGGTAGAAGTCGCACGGCATATCAGGTGAATACGGCTAGTGGTTAATGGTTAAAATGTGATTTTTGGTCAAATAATCGGTCGATTGTCTGATCGTTTTTGGTCGTCAGTCAATTTGTGCGGAACAAACCGTGCACACACCTTTCGTAAGCCCAAATGTTCGGTCAAAATGCGGTAAATCGATGTTTTGGAGATGTTCAATTCCATTTCCATCAATTTCAATGATGATTTCGGCTGATTCGATGGAATTTTCGGTGATCACGAATTTTGATTGGCCCACATGTTGATCGTCATTTATGTCCTCACGACCACTTTGAAAACATTGAAACCACTCGTGCACTCTGCTACGGGATAGGCAATCATCGCCATAAACTTGTTCCATCAATTGAAACGTTTCGGTAAAAGTTTTACCAATTTTAAAACAAAACTTAATGTTGTTCGAAGCTCATATTCGCACCGATAACACAAACATACTGACACTTAAAACGCAATAACTTCACTTCCAATCGATAAAGATAGCAGATTCTAACGCACCAGTCGACATATAAATAGCGCCACCAGGGGGCGCTAGATTCAAAAAGTCCTGTTTATTTTGGAACGCACATTGTATTATGGTTTACGTACGCTTGTTACATTTGAAGCGCATTGTACTTGTGTAGTATGTATTTATCATTAACTATTCAATACATTTTGCAGATGTGAAAAGATCAATAGAACTTCTGGAAAAACTCCAAGCAAGCGGTGATTTTCCCACAACAAAATTAGCAGCATTGCAAAAAGTATTACAAAGCGATTTCTTTAATGCTATTCGGGACGTATACGAGCAGTTGGCGATGACAACAGTTGATATAGGCTCCCATGATGTTCGAGCTTCTGCAACCGCAAAGGCAACAGTAGCTGCTTTTGCTGCCAGTGAGGGTCATGCACATCCACGTGTCGTGGAACTACCGAAGACAGAGGAGGGTACGTATATAACATTTGGATGTACATTTTCATTTCGAGTATTGTAGGCGAAAAAGTATTTAAAATTGCTTAACGTAAAGTTTAATTCTGAATAACCTTACAATCTGAAACACGACAAGAAAAAACACTACAGTCAAGCGAGCCCAATAGTGAAATACCTTGTACCCACTCCCACGCATAGAAAACAAATTTAAATAAAAAAAATTTAAAAACAAGAGAGAACGCTACAGTCGAGCAAGCCCGACAGTGTAATACCCTGTACCCAGGTAAACTTCCGTCACTGAGTTATATGCGCCCATAGCAGCAGCATAAAGAGGAAGAAGAAGAGCGAACTTGTTGCTGCAGTTTGGGGGGGTTGTACTGGTGAGAATTTGTTTTGCTAATAACTTTTCTTAGAATTGACCGAATTTAAAAACAAAATAAAATTTTAAACAACAGTAGATAATTGTATAGAAATTATGTGTGCAAAGTTTGGTTTAGGTAGCATTTGAAATGTGGACGCTATTGACGAAATTCTGTAGCGGGGGAAGGGGGGGAAAATTAAAAAAAATAAAATAAACTCGTCCTTACTCGGACCTAGGAGAATCTGGATGCCAACTTTGGTTATTCTAGCTTTTATAGTTTCCGAGATCCTTGCGTTCATCCAGACGGACGGACAGACGGACGGACATGTCTAGATCGATTTCTCTCGTCATGCTGATCAAGAATATATATACTTTATGGGGTCGGAGATGCTTCCTTCTGTATGTTACATACTTTGCACAAACCTAATATACCCTTTTTACCCTACGGGTACAGGGTATAAAAAGTAATAAATTCATAAAAATGTAATTTTATAATTTTAATTTAATTAAATAAAAACAAGAAAATAATGCTAAAGTCGAGCAAGCTCAACTCTTAAATACCCTGTACATCTCACCAAAAAGGAAAAAATTAAAAAAATTTTTTTAAATAAATAAAAAAAATATATATTAATTAAGTTATTTAATTAAATTAAAGACATGTTCATGTACAGTTTCAAGTACTAGCTGAGATCCTTACGCTCATACAGACTGACAAATGGACGGACATATGGGCATGGTTATATCAAGTGATAATACTGATCAATAATATATATACTTTTAATCTGCCACGCCTCCTTCTGGGTGTTACATATATTCGCACTAAACTAGAATCCCCTTTTACCCTTTTGGTACGAGGTATAAACATTTAAAAATATATTAAAATTTGTTTTGCAGGTTTGGGATTTAATGTAATGGGTGGAAAAGAGCAAAATTCTCCCATTTATATATCTCGAATAATACCAGGTGGTGTGGCAGATAGACATGGTGGACTTAAGAGAGGCGATCAGTTGCTCTCCGTAAATGGTGTGGTAAGTACATTTTTATGGTGCTACGTCAGCTCATTTTGCTTAATTCTTTATTATTCAATGTCAATGGTTCTTGTCGCAAAACTGAAGTGATTTTTGATATGAATTAGGAAAAGACGAATGTTTATATATATGTACATCTGTATATCAATGAACTTTGAAAATCAACTAATTGGAAACAAAAATTCAACTCTTGCATTTGTGACATTTACCAATACTATGGCTGACCTAAGGGCATATTATCACATGTTTTAAGTTTTCCTTTTGAAAGTTAGCACTGAATTTCAAATTTCTTAGCGACGTACACTTTATAAAATTAATTTTTTACTCGAGTTGTGCGTTTTTTGCGAATGGTATGACGCTTAAGGCTATTGCAACTTAGATATTTTGCTGTAGATAAATTGTTTTTATTTTTTTTTTAACCATTACTACAAAACTTGCACCACAGCAAATGTTCTATGCAAACAAAGATCTTGTCAAACTTCAAAACGTTCGGATAGCAAGGTTGTACGAAAGGGTAATTTGGATCCCCGTAGGAGATCTGCAGACATCCAGCTTAAGCTGTGTTTTCTAAACGAACGCAACAATATCTAAAGGAACTGTCGCTGGTCGTTAACTTGAGGCTGGGGTCCATCGGCGAAACTTACGCATCCAACAAACGGTGACAATTACGTAAAGAGGACGACAATAAAACCCATTAAGCATTTATGAAATGACAATAAAAATGTCATTGCTCAACCGAACAAAAGTAAATTCCTTTTGTTACATTACTCGAAGAAATCAAGAAGCATGGCCGACAGAGGTGCCAGCACTTTTTAAAGTCAATTAATTGTCGATACAGCGCTGTTTTTAAACAAGTAGAGAATCTAAAGTCAGGTGTCCCAACTTTGAAATACTCTGTACATATGTGTAGAATAATTATTTTGCATTTAAAAAATTATTTATGCATGTGATCAATGAAAAAACTTTAACAAATCAAACTCAGATCCATGTTAAGGCGAAGTAGTTATATGGCAAAATTTCTTGTACGTCTACGCCCTTGTGTACATACATATAGTACACAGTTGTTAGGGTGAAAAAAGCTTTACTTCTTCTGATGCGCACATAGTAAGATTAAGACTTTTGTGATAAGTGAAATGGTTTAATCAGTGCACTATGGTCTAGAAGTCCGTTTTTTTTGGCATAAACTCCAAAAAGGCAGGTATCGTTTTCAAATATTATACATATAATATTGAGGTTATAAAAAATTATTATTAATTTAATTATTTAATTAAATTAAATACAAATTTTTCAATACTTGTGTACAAAAGTGGAGGCATGTTCATGTACAGTTTCAACAGCATACATTTACATCAGAATCGTGTCACTGCGTGATCATATGCGTGTATTTATGCATCACAAAGTTGAATCAAAGCAGCAACAACAACAACGGCGGGCAGAGCTGCAGGCAGAGCATGGGCAGCGATTTTATTTGGAGCTGCGTGCATCACAAAAAATAACAAACTTGACCTGCCTAGGGCTCAGGGGTACCTGGATACCAAGTTTGGTCATTCTTGTACCTTCTGAGATCCTTGCACTCATACAGACGGACGAATGGACATGGCTATATCGACTCGGCTTGTCACCCTGATCTATAATATATATATACTAATATATATATACTTTATGGGGTCTGCCACGCCTCCTTCTGCCTGACAAGACGATTCGATCTAGCTCTGTCTGTCTGTCCGTTTGACCTAGGGACACAAAATTTTAGTCCAAGATGCCTTATGTGAATACGCAGGAAATGTGTATTTTGGAATTTCCCTCTTCCCCCTCTTCCCCGAAATTGGTGATTTTCCATAATGCCCGCGTTTCTTGGAATTTTTCATTGAAATTCGGATTAGTGATTATAAGTCTTTATGCTAAGTTTAATTATGATAGGCCGATTTAACAGGAAGTTATAGCCATGTATGTACGTATGAGCAAGCAGTGTCCGTAGCTGTTGTTACTGATTTGCACAGGCACACGAGACATACACACACATACACGCATAATTATTCTACACATATATACAGAATATTTCAAAGTCGCGACACCCGACTTTAGCTTCTCTACTTTTTTTTTAATTTTGTATGTGTATGATGTATTTAGTTAAATAATTTAAAATCAAAAATATGTTATATTCACATAGAAATTTCGACTTTATGCCGAAAAAAACGACTTCTGGTCCATAGTGCATTGAATGAAATGAAATGCTAAAAAGTTAATTATACCAATTTCTTTTACTAAAATGGCAATGACGCTTTAAGAGCCACTAAACGGTCAAAAATTACATACTGATTTTTTTTGCCACCATATAAAAATAAAAATATTGATTACGAAAACTGCTCTGATTATAAATGCCACCAGATGAATTTCCACTGTATTTTAATACATACCTCTTTTTACTTTTGAAAACTTTTGCCATTTGAATAAACCCTTTTATGTTTTTGAAACTAATAAATTTAAACAGTAAAACTATTTATTATGAATTTATCGAAGGCTAGGAACGTAACCCCTTCTTTTTATGGAGTACACGGCTCGTTTAACACGATTTCGACGTTTTCAAGGAACGTAACTCCCGTGTGTTAAGTGAGGGCTAGGTGTATATACATATATTTTTTTTAACCAAAACTCGTTTTTATCAAATACAGCTTTTGATTCGTGATTTATTTCTGTAATTCGTCAGCAAGGTCAAAACTAAACTGATAATAGTAATAGTAAATGCTGTTATTTCAGGTATGTAGGCATATAAATATAAATAAATAGTTTGGAAGATGTGCAATACTCCGAACTATAATACGTAGAAGCGCAAAATTTTAGTTTACATAGATAGACGAACAGAAAAGGGACTAAAAGAGACAAAAAAATATTAAAAACTTAACTAAACCACGAATGAAGAATGAGATTTATTGCAATAGAATAAAGACGATGTACACAATGCTTAGGACTCCTCACATCAAAGCCAATAAATTGATTTGAATATTATTGATAAACGTTTACTTATACATATATTTACTTTAGTCTGTTGAAGGTGAAAACCATGAAAAAGCTGTCGAACTATTAAAACAGGCGGTTGGGTCTGTAAAGCTTGTGGTGCGCTACACTCCAAAGGTGCTTGAGGAAATGGAAATGCGGTTCGATAAGCAGCGCAACACTCGTCGCCGTCAATAAAACCAGAATGATTCAAACAATGAACTACCTTTAATTCTACCCAAGCTTTTGAACCTAGTTTTATTTTTAAATATGTTGTATTTGTTTATTTGTAATCAGTACAAATTTCTTTGCTTTAGTACATGGTACAAGCATTATTAATATTTACGCTTGTACTATGTTTGATTCCATTGCCGAGGGAATGGAATCTAATTTATTATGAACTGAAACCTTGAATTGAAAATTTGTGTATCTTATACAAATCAAATAAAGTCATCGCTTACTCCAATACACAAAAATGTAATTTTTTAAGTATTTGGGGTATTTTGGCACAAATCCTTTATATAATATTAATTTTAAACAACAGATAACGGTACCATCGATCAAGCCCGACAGTGAATATACAAACGTCCGGCACTGATTTATATGCGCTCGTAGCAGAAGCAAAAAGAAGAAGAGCGAACTTGATGATGCAGTTTGTGAGCGTAGTGATGGAGTGAAATTGTTTTACTAATAACTTTTCGTAGAATTGAAAACAACAAAAGTAGATATCTATACATCTATCATATATAAAACAAGTAAAAGAGCTAAAGTCGGGTGTCCGGACTTTGAAATACTCTGTACATATGTTTAGAATAATTATAGAAATTAAAAAAAAATGTTGATCGATTTTACCTTTCTCGGTATTTGAAACAAGTATAGGGTGTATAATTGCACATTAATATTTTTTATTTATTTTTTTCATCGACAAACAATGCAGTCGATGTACATTAAAAAATCAATACAATAGAGAACTTAAACTAAGTAAAACTAAAGAAATAAAAAGCCTATAAAAATGACAAAAATATCTAATAACGAATCCGACACGGTGGGGGAATTTTGTTTGCCAAACGGTCAGCAATGCCCCGATTCACAGCAGAGAGTAGTCAGATACGTTATTAGACCTATCAAAAAAGAAGTGGAGATGAAAAAATATAGCAAAATAAATTAGAAGAAAAAAATAAAATTAAAATACTTAAATAATAAAAGATAAAATATAATTCAAAATTAAAGGTGAAGAATTACTGACCCGTTTGGGGGAAAATTTATTAGCCAGTCCGGCAAGCAAGGGGAGAGAGAGCTCACTTCTTAAAAAGTAAAAAGTATTATAATTAGCGCATACTACTCGAAAAGGATTGTGCATGGCGTAATAACTAGTGCATCTGTTAAGTTGAATAGGTAGAAAGTTCCTTGTTGGCCTAGAAGGAACAGAAAAATTTATACGACCTAAAAGCATAGAGATATCAACATCTCCGACAATCAATTTGTGGAGGAACAGAACACCAAGAACTATCCTACGGTGAGCTAAAGAAGGCAGGTTAATAAGGAGTAGTCTACAGGAGTAGGATGGTAATCGCAGACTAGGACCCCAGTTTAGACCACGAAGTGCAAAAAGAAGAAATTATTTCTAAACCGACTCAATGCGATCCTGATGCAATTTATACTGAGGACACCAAACACATGAGCAGTTTTCTAGCACTGGCCGTACTAGAGAACTGAACATTAAGTTGGTGGTGTAGGAGAACAAGAACACCCTTCGCTTTGTTAACGATAGTAGAGATGTAAAGATTGAAATTCAATTTGGGAACAAAAAGAACTCCAAGATGAGAGAATGATAAAGAGGATTTTTATACGAAAAAATTCGCTTCACATCATCGGCATACATTAGTATACGGGAATGCAGCAGGATAGACGGAACGTCATTAATAAATAGAGTGAATAATAGGGGGCCAAGATGACTACCTTGAGGTACACCAGAAGTTACGAGAACAGGTTTAGTAATATACGACCTGAGTAGTACCTTCTGTGCTTCAAGGGGAGGAGATCGTGATTCACAAAATCAAATGCTTTGCTGTAGTCGGTATATATAACATCAGCTTGCATCTTTGCTAGCATCATTTATCACAGATGTAAATTCTTATTAAATCGGTCTATCATAATGATGGGGGGGGGGGGGGGGGGGGGGAAATTAAAAATATAAAACAAACTCGTATAGCATACACACATAAGGCATATTTGTGCAAAATTTGGTGTCTCTATATCTTATAGTATCTGAGATCCAGGTGTTCATATGGACGGCAGAAGGACAGACCGATATACTTGTAGATCGACTTGTCTTGTCATGCTGACCAAGAATATATATAGTTTTTAGGGTCTGCCACGCCTCCTGTTACATTTTTCAGCTCTCGCAAACCTAATATACCCGTGTACATTTTATGTACAGAGTATAACTAGCAGGTATTGCCCGTCTTAACCCGGCTAAATATAATGTTTCAAATTGTATTTATTTTGTGTGTGCATGACCTACCCATATGTTTTCACCTTATTAGTTACCAGTAGGAAGGCAAGTAAGGTATTTAAACGAACATTTTCTGTTCTTGACAAAAAATTGTTCGGGCTACTACATTTTTGGTCTTGCCAAAATATTTTTTTAAGCTCGTTTCCCCCCTTTGGAGCTTGAATTTTCCAAAAGCTTTTCTTAGTGCGCACCTACACGGTAAAAGTTAGGAAGCTGAAATTTGAGCTCAAGTATCCTGTCATAGTGTAGGTGCGCACTAAAAAAAAGGTTTGGAGTCCCAAAAAAAAAAACTGTCTCCAAAGTTTGCTTGCATTTTTCTTCCGTTCATCTTCAAATTTGGTTTTATGATCTATGAGAAATACAAAAAAACCGCATACTTGATTTTTTTAAATTTGTCTTGGAGCTTCAATTATTGGGATTTTAATATTTATTCACTTTTTATATCCTGTACCCAAAGGGTAAAAAGGTATTCTAGTTTTGTGCGAATGTATGTAACACACAGAAGGAGGTGTGGCAGACCCCATAAAGTATATATATTCTTGACCAGGATGACGGGACAAGTCGATATAGCCATGTCCGTCTGTCTGTATGAACGCAAGAACTTCAGAAAGTATAAGAGGTAGAATAATCAAACTCGATATCCAGATTCTCCTGAGAAACTACGAGTTTGAGTTTTTTTAATGCACCCCCCACTCCCCCGCTCTTCGTGTTTTTCCCATAACTCCCGTAATTCCTGGAATTTCGAATTCAAATTTGGTAATTACATCCAGTTGGTGATTATGTGTCCGTATGTTAAGTTGCATCATGATTGGTCAATTGTGAAGAAAGTTATAGCCATAAATAAAATCACTGCCCATGCTCTGCTTGCAGCTGTTGTTGTTGCTGCTGCTTTGGTTCTATTTTGTGCAGAATAAATATAACTTAAAACATTAAAAGAAGCTACAGTCGGCTGTCCTGAGTTGGAAATACTCTGTACATATGTATGTTTAGAATAATTTAAAATTAAAAACAATAATTTTGGTCGATTTTGCCTCTTTCTGCATTCGAAATCACGTAAAGGTTGTATAATTGCACATTTACGTAGCAATTGCGTGTATGTGAGTGTATGCATGTCTATGCGTGTCTATTCGTGTATGTGGGACATTTTTGCAGTCAACCAAAGCATCAACAACAACAGTTGCGGGCAGCGCTTGAGCAGCAATTATATTTATGGCCATAACTTCCTGTTAAATCGGTCTATCATGAAGAAACTTGGCATACGGACACATAATCACTAACTCGGGGTATTTGCAAAATTTCAGTTCGATTCGGAGAATTGCGGGACTTGTGGAAAATCACTGAGGGAGTGGAGGTAAATTCCAAAATACACATTTTCTGGATATTCATAAAAGGAATAAATAAGTTGTAGATTATTTTGCCTACTTAGGAGCCAGTATAAACAACAACAAAGACGTCAGCTTGGAGATTCGCTGGCGGGTTGCTTTGCCAACCGGTGCTTCTATGGGCTAGGTAAACAGTTCATGAGTAGATCACACTCTACGCTGAAGCTTGGACAATAACAACACCTGATAAGGCGACACTGGGAGGCTTCGAGAGAAATATCTTGAGGCGAATCTACGGCTCACTATAAGCTGACGATGAGTTTCGAATACGGATGAACCATGAGCTGTATGAGCTATACGGCGAATACCAAGGGCATTCAGATACAACAACTGCGCTGGCTAGGTCATGTCGTCCGCATGGATGACAGTGCTCCAGACAAAAAAGTATTCGTTTCGGACTCTGCTGGTGGACGACGCAGAAGAGGGCGACTGTGTCTGCGATGGAAAGACCAAGCTATCAAGGATCTAAATATTTTTGGTGTCACCAAACCGACGCGGCCAAAACCGATATCCGGTTGTAATGGCCACAAAAGAACATAATCTTGGAATAAAATGTGGTGTCTCTCTCTCTCTATAGTCTCCGGTGATATAGTCGGAGTCGATATAGCCATGTCCGTCCGTCTGTATAAACGAAGGTATCTCAGAAGATACAAGAGCTAGAATTGCCAAACTTGGCAGGTCAGGTCCATACGCTACCTGGGACATCTGGTGACAGAAGACGGATAAAGAAAAGGTGGCAGCCATACGTGAGTTGAAACCCCCAACCAACTTAAAACATTTGCGACACGTACATTAGAATGGCCGCATGGTACTCACCGAACTGCTAAAGAAGATCAAGAAACGGGCATGGGAACACCCGCCACAATAGGCATTCGACAGCATTCAGCAACATCTAATGGAGGCTCCCATTTTGGCTTGTCCCGACTTCAGCCAACGCTTTTGTTTATAGACAGATGCTAGCAAGTAAGGGCTGGGTGCAGTGCTGGCACTGAACGTAGATGGTCTGGAACACGTAAAATCCTATGCTAGTCGGAGGAAGCAAAAGGACGAATTGTTTTAAAGCGCCACAGAGAAAGAATACTTGGCCATTGTGTGGAGCATTCACAATTTCACAGTCGTGACAGAGCACCTGGCTCTACGCTGGCTGTACTCCATAAAGAACCCGTCGAGCTGCATTGCGCGGGGGGCATTGAAGTTGCAGCAGTACACGTTCGACGTGCAATACCACAAGGGCGCACAGAACGTAGTAGCGGACGCGACTTCTGGTCATATGGGCGCAAGATGTGCGCACGAGTCGCTGACCAGTATGACTGGCCAGGCCTGTCTGTCATGCCAGCGTTTTCAAGCACA